ATCTGCACCAATGGAAGCAATTAATTGAGGAGGAGGAAAACCAACAAGCCTTCTTCGAGGCTTTCTTACTGCAAATAAAAGCCAATGGGAAAGAACTCGATCCACGGCTCTTCAGTACAGAAGAACGACAGGGCTTCGAAATTTCAGACAAAAAGGAATGGGAATCATGGATCAAAAATAAAATGATCAAAAGACTCACTCCGGAGGAGGCGAGAAAGGTGGACCCAAAGAACGTCTTCAAGGCGCCAGTAAGGATTGTGAGGGTGAACAAAGGGGCGTTGCAAGGCCTATTCCAACCCAAGTCCAGGATGGTCATTCCAAGTCATGGGCCAATACAAGTCCGATGCACCCACAGTCATAGGGGTATGTATCCAGCTAGCCAAAGCAGTGTATGCCATGAAGAAGTGGCGAGCCCTCACCTTCGATGTGACGACAGCCTTCTTAAGTAGAAAAAAAATTAAGAGAAAAATTATGATCAAAGCACCACCTAAAAGTCTGCCAGCTAAACCTGCTATACGACCAAAAGAACTATTAAAGGCGACACTACCCCCGGCCTTAAGAAAGAAAATTAAGAAAAAAGAAAGCTAAAAATAAATAAAGACATAAAGATGAAAATATAAATATATAGATATAAATAAAAATATAAATATATAAAAATAAAGATAAATAAAAATATCGATGTAAAAATATATAAACAAAAATATAAAAATATATATAAAAATATAAAATAAAAATATAAATGTGCAAAAGCGAAAATATAAAAATATAAAAAAACATATTATTTTATATATGTTTTTTTTACGAAGAATCCTTCGTAGACGTTTTCGGGAAAAATATTATTTCAATTCGCGTAACGTTTAAACGAATTTCATTTATAAGAAAACCTATTATATTAAAGAATTCATAATATTCTAAAGCAATCTTCGACGATTTTTTTTCCCAAATAGATTTACCTATGAAGGATTTTTATTCCTTTTAATAAGATACATGTTCGGACCGGATGATTTTAAGTTTATCTCCGAGCTTGTGTTCCTAGTCGCATAATTTCAGTCTTATTTCCCACTTATCTCCGAGTAAATTCTACATACTCTCAATATTCCAGCCGCATAATTTTATACTTGTCTCCCATTTATCTCCCAATAAGCTTTCGATGCTCTCAATGCGCCGCATAATTTCAGACTTATTTCCCATTTATCTCCCGCTTGTTTCCCAAAAAGCTTGGCCGCATAATTTTACACTTGTTTTCTACTTATCTTCGAGTAAGCTCTGGATGCTCTAGCCGCATGATTTCAAACTTGTTTCCCAACAGTTTTAGATGCTTTGAATGCTCTAGCCGCATAATTTCACATTTATCTCCCACTTGTCTCCCAGTAAACGCTAGATGCTCTAAGTACTCTAGCCGCATAATTATATACTTGTGTCCCATTTGTCTCTCAGCAAGCTCTGGATGCTCTAAGTTCGCTAACCGCATGATTTTATATTTGTCTCCCATTTGTCTCCCAGTAAGCTGTAGATGCTCTCAGTGCTCTAGCCGCATGGTGTCCCATTTGTTTTCCACTTATCTCCCAATAAGCTCTGGATGCTCTGAGTTCGCTGGCCGCGTGATTTTATATTTGTCTTCCATTTATTTCCAGTAAGCTTTGGATGCTCTCAGTACTCTGGCCGCATGATTTTATACTTGTGTCCCATTTGTCTCCCACTTATCTCCCAATAAGCTCTGGATGCTCTGAGTTCGCTAGCCGCATGATTTTATATTTGTCTTCCATTTGTCTCCCAGCACTTATCTCCCACTTGTCTCCCTTCTCTCTGGTACTCTGGCTTGCCTCCCCCTTGTCTCTCCCTGTTTCTAATACACTCTGGGTGCTCTGGCTGCATGCTTTTGCACTTGTCTCCCACTTATCTCTCCTTGTTTCCAATAACCTCTGGGTGCTCTGGCTGCATGCTTTTGCGCTTGTCTCCCTCTGGGTTTTCTGGGCCGCGTGAGATGTTTCCTCTGCCTACTCTAGATACACTTGGCCGGATGTTTGTTTTTACACCTGTCTCCCCTGGTCTCCCACTTTTTCGGCCTACTTTGGATTACACTTGGCCGATTGCTTGTCTTCTTGCTTCTATGCTTTCGGTTGGATGAGTTTACACTTCTCTCCCTGCTTGTCTCCCTTCTTGCTTCACTTGTCTCCACTTGTCCCGGCCTGCTCTGGATACGCTTTTACACTTGTCTCCGCTTGCCTCTTCGCCTGCTCCCTGCTTAGACACTCTTGGCCAAGTGGCTTTACGCTGTCCCACTTGTCTCCCTGCTCGTCTCCCTTCTTGCTTCACTTGTCTCCACTTGTCCCCGTGCTTGCCTCGCTTCTTCACTTGTCTCCCTTCTTGTGTCCCTGCTTGTCTCACATTTTGGTTGAAAGCTTTCAACATCTTTTAGCCAAACAATCATGATAAAGCCACATGTCAGTACAGCTCAGCATATTCAGTAGATTTGCGTTCTATTTTCGTCTGAATTGTCGGTTGTGACCTTGAGCCAATTGAGCCAAGTGCTGAAACAAGCCCAGAAGGTCCAAGTTGATCACCGCGAGCTGGAACGGTTTGAGCCGTTGACGGTTTGACAGTTCGTCTCTGTGGTTAACTTCATAAACGCACGCGCAAACTGTTTGGGGTCTACGCTGGTATAACTATATTAACCTCCAGGGCCGGGAAATTGCCAAAAACATCATTAATATATTCTCTAATCATATTTAGCGATATTTTAGACGTCTTTTAAAATAAGGATGAAGAAGATTCATGGAATAAATCACCAGGATTCATAGAATTTAGCAACAAGATCCATGGAAGTTATCACCGGGATTCATGGAGTTCATCCTTAGGATTCATAAAATTCATCGCTCGGATTCATGGAGTTTATCACTAAGATTCATGGAATTCATCATTGGGGTTCATGGAATGCATCACTGGGATTCATGGGGTTCATCAAATGTAGTGTGGGAAGCAGCTTCTGGGAGCTGCGGCCTCAGATGTCTCCCACAAGAGTGTCAAAAAATGGTTGGGCATTTGTTTCGAGCACGTGTTTTGCATTCGGGTTCGTGGGTTCCATTATTTTTCGTCTCCTTCTCTCTCTCTCTCTCTCGTTCCCTCCCTCCTTGCGGGCATTTTGTCTAGGATTCTTTGCGTTCTGACATCCTTTTTGGCACATCAACTTATTCACACACGCACGCACACTCTGACATTGGTTTTCAGTGACTCTGTTACCACGTTGAGAAGGAAGGCGATGGAACGGCATGGTGAAAGGTCCAAAGACTTGAAGGTGTTTTAACATTGAAGTTTCTCATCTGCAGCGGTGCGACGACGACGCGCGCGGGCGGCGAGGGAAAGGGTTTAGGGGAAGTAGCATGAACCACCATGGAAACAAGCAAAGAAAGAGTGGAGTGACAGCTTGTACAACAGTTCGGCAGGTACGTCCCCCCAGTGGCCTCTTCGTTGGCCATCCGCCACTGGGGAGGGGGATGGCCCCTGCCGAAGTTGGTTGAGAACCCTTTGTCCAGGGGTGGACACACGCAAATCGCCGGTTTCGGCGCTTTTTCAAAGAACGGTGGGACGCATACGGTGCCGCTTCGCGGCGCGTATGGGGAAAAAACCTAAATAGTCACCTAAAAAGCCTTAGAAACGAAAGAAAGAAAGACAGAAAGAGCGGGCAAGAGAGAAAGATAGGTGTAGAAAAATGAAAAGGTGAATACTTAGCCCTTGACTGGGGTAGGGAAACGAACCTCAAGAACAACCTAAAAAGCCTGAAAGAAAGCCCAACAAACGACGAAAAACGCAAGAAGGAAAGCGGGGGGCAGGGAGGGGGTGTATGTCCATGTGTGTGTACGTGTGTGTGTTTGAATACCTAGCACTCTAGAATTACTGAATACTTAGACGAAGCGAATTAGGTGCACTAGTTAGGGAGCGGGACTTTAGTCTTAGACCGCCCGGGTAGGAAAGACTAGAACAGGAACAACACAGGGAAAGGCACCGGCACACAAGTGTGTCGAGTACCATTTCCCTATGTTGCCCCAAATAGGTAGGGAGTAGAACTCGGCTGGGGGGGGGGTTGGGGAACCTGCCTCCTTGGGGGTTGAGCACAGCGCCGTTTTATAGCCCGGCGGCTGTGGAGGTAATCCCGTTTTTGGGCCCGGCGGCCAGTCCATCAGTTGATTCTATGGGGGTGTCCGCGACTTCCTGTGAGGATCCAGTGAGAAGTGGAATGTTGGGTTGGTTGCTTTCCAATGCAAAAACGGCGCCCCTGTGACGGGGATCACACTCAGCACCCGAGTGGGACGGCTGAGCGAAACACACTCTGACATTGGTTTTCAGTGACTCTGTTACCACGTTGAGAAGGAAGGCGATGGAACGGCATGGTGAAAGGTCCAAAGGCTTGAAGGTGTTTTAACATTGAAGTTTCTCATCTGCAGCGGTGCGACGACGACGCGCGCGGGCGGCGAGGGAAAGGGTTTAGGGGAAGTAGCATGAACCACCATGGAAACAAACAAAGAAAGAGTGGAGTGACAGCTTGTACAACAGTTCGGCAGGTACGTTTGCAGCCCCCCCCCAGTGGCCTCTTCGTTGGCCATCCGCCACTGGGGAGGGGGATGGCCCCCTGCCGAAGTTGGTTGAGAACCCTTTGTCCAGGGGTGGACACACACACACACACGAACTTCACATTTGCTAAAAGCTTATTCTTTGTTTTTTCAAGAGTTAATATCAATAGGCTTTCAATGTGCTTACTTTAGAAGGGAGATCATTTGTTGCCTATCAATGCCCCCACTTGTGCTCGATACAAATTGTGAAGGTACGAAACGCTTTTAAGCTTTTGGACACTCACTGAGGCGTTTGTGCGTCGAAATAACTAAACGCGTGCGTGTGTTTTTTCACATGCTACACCGTCTGTTTCAAAGATTCGATGTGCAAGCGTGCCACTTGTTCCTAGTAGCGTGGCACCAGTTTCTAGTACAGTAGCTTTCTTTTCTGGCTCAAGCTAAAACTTTCACTTCGCTGCCAGCTTTGAGTGCTTTCTGAGAATCCGAGGAGTCGTCAGACAAAAGTGGTCTGTAATACCTCAGACTGCCGGTGCAAAAAAGGTGAGAATTTCAAAAGAACATGGCCCATTTCAGACCAAGTAAACAACGCAATATATTTTGCTTTTGTCGAAGCGGCTGAGGTCTGTGCGCGTCCATGAAATGCCGACCAAGATGCTGCCCAAATACTGCTTGGCCTCTGTATGCCACAAGCGCCCCGTAAACGGAGAGCTCGTCCCCTGACCGGTGTTGAATGTGCTTCATGGTTCCAGCCCCAGCTTCCACTTGAACGTCCAACATTCTTCCAACGTTTTCGGAATCACGACCTCTGGAAGCATGGGAGTTGAGCTGCGTCCTCAATGCGTCTGAGCTGCGACGGCCAATGCCTTGAGCAACCTCCACGATGGAGCAGCGCCCACAGGGGCCCAAACGTTGGAATCGGAGATGACCTAAAGCAACTGGGTCGAAGAAAAGCAGAAATCACATTTACATCGAACAGTTTGGAACTTGGGGGCACTCGCATTCTGAAAGACGGCGCCCGTGAGTGCACGCACGCCAACAGCACATCATTGATGGAGGAGCCCCGCCCGACTCTTGAAATGAGGGCTGAACAGTACAAATGCTGCGACGATCCATGGTTGCCAGAATGGCCGTCGTAGCTGCAAGAACGCACACGAAGGGCAACAAATTGGCCATAGAGCATTTGCTGCTTGGCAGAAGGCTGGTGAAAGCCGAACGCAGCATTGCTTCTGCATGGATTGCAAAAGCTATAGAGGAACTTTTAAGTTGGTAGAACAAAGGTTTTTAATTCATTTACGCCTTGGTACAAGGTACGAGGCACACAATCCATTTAGATACACAGTTCATTGATTGGATATTCAATCTTCCCTTCTGCCCAGTCAGATCCTGCCATGACACGGATTATTCGTCTTTCTTCCTTCCTTTCACAACCATTGTAGGTTTCCATTGTGGGCCATGATGAAGCTAAGAGTGGAGAAGCAGTTGTTGGAGTTTTGGATGGGTGTTCGAAGGTGAGCAGTGATTTACCTGATCGGAATAATCCAATTTGATGCAATGATGCGATATGCTTTTCTTGTTCCTAGAAGCATCCTCTACCCCTCCCCGCGCGTGCGAAACAGCTCCTGGTAGCTTCTTGTTCCTAGTAGAGTAAGGCCAGAAGCCCCTAGCGTCCTTGCTCCTAGTAGCGATACCCCTTGCTCCTAGTAGCTTCTTGTTCCTAGTAGTGTTCCTAGTAGCTTTTCTTGTTGGACTATGAATTATGTTCGAGAAAGCAGTCAAAGATGAGTGTGGGTGAAAGACCCCGCCCGAGAGTGCTTTACCTGTGGGGCTGCAGGAGCCATGATACCTAGCTGTTCCACAAAAAGTGTTGCAGTTTGCTACCTTTGAGCTTCAGCGTATGCTCATGCATGCTTGTAATCCTCCTCTTTTCTGTTTGACCTTTCAATTTACATTTTGATTCCTTCCTTTCTTCTTTGTCTCTTTTTGTCAACATCCTTTGATGCCATGCAAACTCAAATCAAGTCGCCAATCTGGATCTCGCGCCAAAGGTCTTCTTCATGAGCTTCGCTTCCATGAACAACCAGGTTCGGACGGAAGCGATCCTAAGACGTGAGGAGGAAAAGCTTGCCGGGTCAACAAGGTGAGGTGGACATCTTAAGGCGACCCCAAACAAACAAAAGTTCTATTGTCCATTCCAGTTGGAATTTCTTGTCTCAAGAAGCCTTTTCTTGCATCTTCATGCTTTCTGATCGCGTCGCGTTGGCCAAGGCTCCATTGAAATGGCTCGCTGGGCACTTTCGCTCAGGGCATTCAAAGAAGCAGTGGAGATAACGAGCAAGGGAGCAATGTCTGCCCTCAGATTCCCCACATGTCTGACTCAAGCCCAAAGGCTTCCGTCTGACACCTTCCGTTTTGGACAACACTTGATTGTACTAGCGGCCTCCCGTTTGACCCGTGAGCTGGTGGCTTCTGGGCTGAACGTCCCAGTGGCCAGTGCCGTCCCGCGGCACTTCGTCGACAGCTCTGCACACGGCGGAGCAAACGTGGTGATCCGCCCAGGGCACGTGATAGCCACGTTGCAGCGAGATCCCCTCGAAATCAGGTGATCAGTTCAACACAAGTCGATGACTATGCACACACGTCTCGATTTCGGTACGAAAAAACAATAAGCTACTAGTAACAAGTGCCTTACTAGTAGTAACAAGGACGCTACTAGGAACAATAAGCTACTTCTCCACGCCGAGTGGCCTTGGTCTTTGCCTGACACTTCGGCTCCAAAGAGATTGGCCGAAGCATCCCCTGCCTCCGGGCTGGCGCCTGCAACGCCGCCTGCAACCGCTTACAGCATGAAAAGGTTCGAGTGACTCGTTGAAGAACTTTTGCGTTTCTGTTGGTCTGAAATTGAAGCCACATCCCGTCTGAACCCCCTGCATCGCAGCAAGGAACGCGCACCTAAAGGCACCTGCGTGGCACGTGGCGAGGCGGCAAGGGATGCTTTATCGAAGACGACACGACCACACGACGACACGATGCTTCACTTAGTCTTTCTGTCACATATCTCTTCTCAGTCTATCACACTTGGAACCTCTCGTGTCTTCGCTCGCGTTTGGAGCTTGGAAGGTTCTTTAGCAACATGTCGATTTCGTTCGTTTCTTCGTTTTATTTTCTGGCTGGACCTTCAGACCTTTCTTTGGTCCTTCTTTATTTCTTCTTTGTTCCTTTCCTTTTTGTGTTCAGCACCTCCAGGATGTCTTCCAACTCCTCTGTGGCCATCTGCAGTGTTCCGTCTTGGATTCGTGCTGCAAGCGCCCCCAGCTGCGGCGCTTCCCGCTGCGTTAGGGCACGGCCACGGGCAGCAACCTCACCAAGTTATGGAAATTGATGCAGCAAGGCCGCAGCAGGCAGGGGTAACTAGTGACTAGTGGCTTAAGTAGCTACTACCTAGGATGCAGAAGAGCCTTCCTGCAAGTGATTTGGCTACTACTTTTTTGGAAAGTTAAGCTTCTAGCCTCTTTCATGGCTTACACGAACACCTGCAAATGTGCTTATGCATGACGCCGGATCTGGGGCAAGACTTGTTCTGTCAAGAGATCAACAGTTTCAATCCTCGGATCTTGTTCGGGTGACATCCTTTGCACAGCCAAGGCTCCACGTAGGTGCGATCAAACAAGATGCCGTCCTGCATCTCAAGTTCAGCTGGTCACTGCATCAATTGTGAGCCAAAAGCAGGAATTACATGTTCGGCACTTTTTGTTTGCTTGCAAACCTGCGAATTGAGTCAAGAATGTTCTTGGATCTCGATGTGTTTTGCTGTTTGTTCTGGGATATCAACTTGCTCCAATGACAAAAGGCAGCATGACCTCAAAGATTGGCACCAGATTCCTCTATCACTTCCTAAGCTTCTGCCTTTCTGTCTGTTGGGTGAAGAGCAGGGCTTGAGGGGCATATGACTAGTAATAAGGAAGCTTCGACTTGAAGCTGCTACGTGCGATGCAAAGAACCCTTCGCATGATCGAAACCGACTTATCAAACTAAATGTCCAAAGAAACTCTTTATTATGCTTTGCATGTCATGCCTTCTTGCTTTGTCATGCTTTGTCTTTCGTGTTTGCCCTTTCCTGGTGCAGCTCTACCTCTGAAAGCTCTTCACCCAGGCAGGACTTGACGGGGTAACGATGTAAGCTTTGCAAAGTCACCTTAGGAAAAATACATCGCTCTCAAGCAAAAACAGAAGCAAAAGGACAAGCCGCTTGTTCTTTGCTTGACTCAGAGAGAACCTTAGAATCCTAGGATAATGTTCACACCTTTCAGTCACCTGTTGGCGCAAACTCCTGTGGTGAATTTCACATTGCACTCACTGCTTCCAGCATGCGCTTCCCTCCACAGTCAAACTGCTGTCCAGGTTGCCAAATTCGGAAGGGTCAGCGTACCACCCACGGCAAGCGCAGAGACTGCTGTGGCGCGCAGCCGCCGACATGGCTGAGATGCTTTCGGCATGAACCGTGCAATGGGTTTGCTTTGCGTAGTATCCGCAGAAATGGAGTGTTATCTGGGCTTTTAATTTATTAGCAATTTCTTTAATGATAAAAGCCCAAATAAAATAAGAGATTGCTCACCTCGAGATGGAAGGTTGCAAACAGTGTAAATACTCGATGTATGCATCTTCCCCACAAGGCACATGGCATGACCTTCGATGTCCTCTTGTGCCACTGCTGCAATTCTCGACAGCGAAGCCATGGCTGCTGCGCATGTGGAATTCCGGAGTCACTTCACAATGTTCAACGTGTCACTTGAATGGCGAAATGCTTCGATGGAGTACTAGGCCTCAAATCACATCAGCTTGAACAAAAAAACTCTTGTGGGCTAAGGGTTCAACCAGTTGGCTGAGAGCTCCGAACAAGACAAAGGAATGAACAAACATTTCCTTCACAACAAGGCAAGATGACTAAAAACCAAGTCTTGAAACTTGATGTGGTCACATCATCATCCTCGTCATGAATATTGTCTTCCAAGTGTGCTGTTACAACCCGCTTGCTTTTTCCCCAAGTCATGTTTCACTCTCCTCGGTAGCTCACGGGAAGCTTGTGGTGTGAGAAGACAGGCTCCACTGCAAAAACATCATCCTTCCGGAACTGGACCTCTGGACCTAAGCAGTTCGAAAAAGGATTCGAAAGAAGGATCCCCAAGAGCAGAAGTCACTTCGTGCAGTGTCCTCTGGCTTCGAGACGTTGCACTGCTGAACCCGCAAGAACGGACATCGAAGATTAGGGGTTCTTTCAGAGCAAACTCCATGGCACTAGGTCACTAGGACTCAGGTCTTCAATGAGCATCTCTCCTGTCCTAGTCTTCAACCTGCAACACTTCGTGTGTCCATGGGAAGCCCCTCTGACAATCCCCTCAAATGAAGATATAGGTGTGTCGGTTCTAGAGAATTCTTGGCAGCGCTGAAAACATGATGAGAAAGGATGCCAGTCACAACGTCAATGTGTTCACGTTCTCCGCCCCTCTGCAATTCCGCTGATAACACACCAGAAACGTTTCAAAGGGGCTCCTGGAGCAAACTCACCGAGGGCACGACGTGATTCATGACCGTGCACATCTTGATCCTCAACCAGCGACGGGGGTTCCTTTCTGTCGATCTCCAATTCAAACCTCGGACCGGTCGTTTTTCGGCGTTCGTGTCCGGGCCATGCAGATGAATCAACCTGTGCCTGGTTCATCAACAGAATCACTGAGTGAGCATATTATGCGCAAATCATAGGCTGAGGACCACTGGATTGTACTCATCGATTTGGCAAGTTGGATTGTACATCATCTCATATCATCTCTTTGGGGAACCGCCAAGCCCCGCTGAGTCACAGCCTTTTCGGCAAGTTACGACGGTTCAACGTCAGCTCCTTTGGAGCCGATGTTGGGAGCTTCATTCCGATTCAAAACCCATGGGATTTTCATGGGTTAATCATCTAGTTCCAAGTTCTTAAGAACCAGTCCTCGCGCTTGCCACTTCTCCTGCAGTTTCTTCTTGCCGGTCGGATTTCCTCCGATGCCTGCACATGAGAAGCTTCACTTAGTTCACAATGTTCGTGCACGACTTTGAACAACACCCCTGTGACAAAATGAAACATCGAAAATAAGAAGCTCGAATGACCAAATCGAAGACAACACTTTGACGACACATCGAATTCCATTGGAACACCGACGAAGAACCCCTGGTGGCCTGTTCTTTGGAGTCGCAGCCTCTGTAGCTGCGGACACTTCTCCATAAAATTCAGCACCTCCTGGACTCCTTCCTTCAGCCAGTGAAGCAACGGAGCGAACAAAACGGTCTTTCAATCACAAATGCCATGCTGTGCAAAGCGTCTTGTGACTCGGAATCTAGCAAAGGAGCAACAAAAAGAGCGTAAAGCAAAGTGCCAGGTGTGCAGAAGACCAAGAAGACCCGAGATCCCCGTATTAAAAACAATACCAGTACCGCGTAGCTCTACAAGTTGTGTGGGACACGAACTGGAATCGGTGGGCCTCAGTCGTGCAAAGCTCTTTGTTGTCGTTCAAGTTGACATATTCCAGTGGCAATAATGAGTCCTGGCATCACGTACGAAAGAAAGGAAAGGACAAATGAAAGGTCTAACGAGCCCAGAGGTGAAGGTCTGAAGAAAAAGATGCAACACACAGAGAAAAGCAGAGTAAAGGCAAAAATACACATAGAAAGAGAAAAAAATCCCGACCCAGCTGAGGTGTCTCACCGAGGTGTCAAAACCTGCGAGGCTGCCAGTGGGCCGAAAGCTACCGGTCCTTGAGGTAGGGCAGCAACTTGTTGTGCAGGATCTCCTGCGGATGGATCGATCTGGGCACGAATCTGTGTATCTTCTGCATATCTTCATGTGATTCATGTGCGTCGCGTGTCCGTCTATCTATCTTTCTTATCTATCTATCTATCTATCTATCTCTCTGTCTGTCTGTCTGCCTGCCTGCCTGCCTGCTTGCCTGCCTGTCTGTCTGTCTGTCTGCCTGTCTGTCTGTCTGTCTGTCTGGTGTTGTTTTTGTTGCTTCAACCAGAATCGCGGATCATGGCGGCAACATGTCAGCCTCGACAACGTAGTTTTTGTCATAGGAGCCCGATTTTAAATGGCATCGCTCTTTCGTGCAAACCTAGATCCAAGGCTCAGCCTCTCTGTTGCATTTAGCGGCCCAGTATCTGATTTCTTCTTACTTGTTGTCCAAAGTCCTCTCCACCAATATTGTGCAAAGCATTCTGCAAAGAGGTGACCATTGGCTCAACAATTGGGTCTCGCCGCTCTCGCCCAATACATTTCAACTTCTCACTGCCCATACTACGTACTCTCAGCTGAAACACTTGAGGCAGTTCAATGCCTGAAACTGGTTGGTTCAATGCCTGCCTGATTGATCTCCATGAAGTTCACGTTGGCCTTCTTGCAGCGCTTCAGGATCGACGCCAGCAGTTGCCACCTAGGCACCCGCTGGCGCCAGCTACGGGCACCCGTTCAGGCGGCCGCAACTGTCTGGTGCTGAGGTTTGGTGTCAAAGTTCCGTTTTGCAATGAGTAGTAACAAGTGCCACGCTAGTAGTAACAGGTGCCTTACTAGTAGT